ATCTTTTTTAAAAAGTATTTTAAGACGGGGCTTTAAGTTGCCTAGTCTGGCCTTAAACGTGCCATCCTTCACTTCAGCTTCCTCAGCATCTCAGATTACAGACGCACATCCCCACCGGGTACAGCAATTTATTTTCAGACAGGTCCCACTACGTATCCCAGGCTGGCCTCAAACTCATATTTCTCCTAAACTTCTCCTGAAATGTGTGCCCACTGCTGTACTTCACAGTAACATTTTCATATCCTTTTGTAAAAAGACTTAGTTTTTATTTATGTGTATGTGTGAGTTTATGTACACCATCTGCATTGTAAGAGCCCATACAGACCAGAGAGGACATTGGGTCCCCTGGAACTGGAGTTACAGATGGTTGTGAGTCACCATGTAGGTGTTGGAAACCTAACCCAGGTCCTCTCCAAAAAAAGTTAGCACTCTTAACCACTGAGGGAGGTAGGGACGGAGGGAGGAGGCAGTATGTACATGTGTGCATGTGGAACTTGGAGAGAGGACAACTTTCAAGAATTGTTTCTTTCCTTCTACCATGTGGGTCCTGGGGATCGAACTCAGGCCATCAGGCTTAGCGGAAAGTACCTTTACCCACTGAGCCATCTTATTGGCCCCACTAGCATAGGTTTGTGGTACTTGCTAACTCCTACAATTTTTACTGGGGCTACTGTTAGTGACAAACTGGTCTTGAGCTCATTCTTCCTGCTCTGCCTGGTTTTGCTCTTTCTTCCTCCTCACTCTCACAACTTGAAGTCCAGAACTGGGAAGATGCCAAAGGTAACCCAATGAGGTGTGGTGCCTGCTTTTCTAGCAACATCCCCTCTATTGGAAGTGGTCACCACCACAAAGACATAGAGCCCTCTGCAGAGAGAACTCACTTTCCAAAGAGTTCTTGGTGGTCGAGTCCTTGGCATCCTTGTTGCTTCTGGCTCTCAGGTTCTGCAGAGAGAAGAGCACATGCTAACACGGAGTGGCAGAAGCAGTTCTGATCCAGCTTGAACAGAAAGCTTAGCCTTCTCTCCCCACAGAGAACCCCAGATACAGCAAACCTCAGGGGGCACTCTGAGCCACCAAATGAAAACAGACTGAGCACAAATGATGCCTCAGATGTTTCCTTAGGACAGAGCCTCCCAGCCTCGGCTCTGGATATTCGGGAATCAGAAATTCCTTGTCCTGAGTGGACAAGGTGCAGCTGTCCTAAGCAGTGTCCCTGGTTTCTATCTAAAGGTGTGGTAACAACCCAGCCTCCTGTTAGGAAAATCAAAAATGTTTCCAGGAACTGCCAAGTACCTCTTTGGAGACAAAATCATCCCTTCCCCTGGGTGAGGACCTTTGACAAGGAGAATGCTGAAAAGGCAAAGCGTTTTCTTAGAGCAGTTCAATAGCGTGCAGAGAGGTGGTCATCCAGAAGAATACTCACTCATCTTTGAAGATGGCAAGGAAGGCCCCACCACCAAATGGATATCAGGTTCTACAAGATCTCATGGGTGGAAATGCACATACACTTGCTAAAATGTGTAAATGAATTACTTTATTATAAAACGAGGCACTAAGCTTGACAGCAGGGATTGTTAGTGGAATGCTACCAAAGATTCGATCTCAGGTACTGCAGGAGAAATGAGGACAAAGCATCCCTGTGACCTGAAGTCATCCCTGAGAGGGAGCTGCCAAGAATCCTAGCATTAGGCTCCTGAACATATGTGTACCCAGCACAGGAACAGGAAGGGGCTCTGGAATTCTCTCCCAACCTTTTGTGCTGTAAGAAATGTCTCAGGACTAAGAGATGGTACTCTTTAACCCACTATTATTAAATCTGCAATGCACGTTAGTGCCTTTCCTCTGAGTTTACCATCCCTTGCAGTGACAGATAGGTTGTTCCTATCTACATCTTACATAGCAGTTTCCAAAGGATGTAAGGAGGTAAATGCTAAACAAGAGCCTGTAGGAATCAGAAGCTGAGCTCATGGGAGCTGGGAGTAGCCCAAAGTCCACATGCTCCTGGATAGTGTTGGGCACAAGTTCCAGCTGTCCTTCCTCAAGGAGATGTTAAGAGTTTGGTTTAACCACATATTTCTCAAACAACTGACTCCAGGAGCCTTTTTCATCTAATTTTTAATTTATCACCTGAAGAGCTAGCATCCCACAGAAACCAACATGGGCAACTGTGGTCTGGTTGGATACCATCTCACACACATCTCTCACAACTGATTTTGGGAGAAGGTGAAGAACCAATATCTGCCCAGTTCTTGTGGGCAATCCCAGAGCCCCATGCCTGAGCGCTGCTGGCCCAAGGACCCAGTCCCCACCCCACCACATGGTCTGCTGCTTCCTCTTTCTTGAATTTCACTTTGTTCAGTTTACGCAACTCCAGGTTCTCTGGGGCATTTCTGAAGATGGGTGGAGAACCAGCACAAATGTTGCTCAGATGGTACAAGAACAACAAAGCTTCATGGGGCCACTGGTCCACTCTGCATCCCAGCCCTGGCTCAAATTCCCATGACAGCAGTCAGCAGAACCATGTAAACACCCTTCCAGGTCTCATCCCACCACAGCTTCTTTCCTCTGGGGTGGAATCCTGTCTGGGTGGACTGAAACTTGGCCACTTAACATAGTTTTTCCAAGGACCAAGTCTTTGATTTATCAGGGTCACTTGGAATTCTATACCAATACTCCAGCTGATGTAGGGAGAAGTTAATTTAATGAAAAAGGAAAAGAAAAGAACATATTAAGAGCTTGAGGTAAAAATGTCTGGCAGGTAGTGGGGCACCTTATGGGCTTGGGAAGAATAATGCAAGACAAGTTATCACCATGGGAGGTGATCAGAGCCAGGGCCATAGACGTCCAGTCCCTGTGATAAAGGATATATCGCACCAAGTCCCTGGAACACGCCCCAAGTGTGATAGTCAAAGGTTTTCTTTCAGCAAGAGAGGGCAGACTTACCCTGTGTGCTTAGTTTACATTTCATTTTTTTATCTTTTAAAAATTACATGTGGTAAGGTGCCTGGGAACTTGCTCATATGAACTTATAGCAATGGCAACAACATGCACAAGACCCATGCAAACTCAATCAGACAAAAACCAACATAGGACTGGAGAAATGGACAGGAGGCGCCAACCTTAGCTGAGGAACTACTGGCAGCTGATCACTGCTGGGTGAAGGAGAGTTGGTCTTCTTTAAGAGAGTGATGCTAGATAGGCTGGCCAGGCTCTAGTGGATGAATGCATACTGAGAATGGACATCTAAGGATACAAATTTGACTTGATAGGCCTTAACATATATGACAGAATGCATGAAATCCAGTGGGGGAGGGGGGTATGGGGAGTACAGATAGGAGAGGGAGTCTAAATATGATTAAGATGTATGAAATGCACAAAAATTCAATAAAAACATAGACGGAAAAAAACTGCATGTGGGGAGTGTGTGTGTGTGTGTGTGTGTGTGTGTGTGTGTGTGTGTGTACGCACAAGCATGTGGAAGCCAGAGGAGGACGCTGGGTGTCTTCTATTGCTCTCTGCCTTATTCCCTTTACAAGGTCTCTCACTGAACCTGAAGCTAGCTGTTTTGGTTGGCTAAGGTGGCTGACCAGCAAGCTCCTGGGCTTCACTTGTCTCTGCCCTGCAACAGGGATACATGGCCATGTATGGCTTTTAGGTGCTGGGGACTCAAATTTGGATCCTCATGCTTACACAGTAAGTGCTCTTACCCACTGAGTCATCTCCCTAGCACCGACATTTTCCTTTCAATGCTGTCTTTCTACATGGAGATCTTTCCTCGCAGAATCCTTGTTTGATGGGGAAAGGCAAGTCAGAAGTCAAAGTTTCAGGGAGTGGGAATCTCCAAAAGTAGCAGTGACAACAAACTCCCACAGAGAAAAATGTCACATGGTTGTTAACAGCACTGCAGAAATAGGATGTGGAAGGGCAAGAATCCCTGTCTAGAGAAATGGAGACCCAAGGGTGACACTGGGCTCTAGTCCTGGTTTGGCCACCCATCCCAAGTGGCCTTTTCACATTCTCTGTATCTGAGGGGCTCTTCTGATATGCAGATGCTCACAACACTCCATGGTTTAAGCTTTCAGGTAATCAAGGCTTGGTGCAAGTAGGAAGACAGGCCACTCCCAGACTTGGGGTGGTACAGTCTGGAGGATGGGACCACCTGGAGCTCTCCTCCCAAATGCAGCAACTTAAACCCTCACTACTTTCTACAATCTTCTCAATGTTCCTGGTTCCTGGTTCTCAAAGATGTTGAGAGGCTAGAAAAGCAACAAAGCAGGATGGCTCCCCTAGCCTCCAGTGACAAGACTGCAGAGCAGCCATGGGACTTCTGTGACAGGACACGGGTAAAATTCTAACAATGACAGACAGCACAAGAGAGGGTCCAGAGAACACAGTTGCTGTGGTTTGAATGTGTCCTCCAAAAGTTCATGTATTGGGACCTTAAACCCCTAACACATATGTTCACTGTGTTTGAAGCTAGAATCTATAAGGGGTGATTAGGGTTAGATAAGGTCATACAAGTAGGCCTTCACTGATGGCAATAGTGGTTTTAGAAAAAGAAAAGATGCCTGAGTTAGTCTGCTTGCTCTGTCCTGACAGGTGACATCCTCTGTCATGTTTATGACACAGTCAGAAGGCCCTTACTAGATGTATCTCAATGCTCTTGAGCTTCCCAGTCTCCAGAACCATAGCCAAATACATTTCTATTCTTTGTACTTTACAACAACATAAAATGAATTAAGACATCAGTGGACTCCTGGAATCAGGCCCTGGCCCTGGGCAGGAGCACTGTGGGAAGTGCTATTAAATCACAAGTGTCCTGTGATGGAGCTGATCCAGCAGAATCTGAGTCAGAGCTGGGGTTCATGACCATCCCTTAATTTCATGTATTTTGTTCTCCAAGGTCACATTCCACAAATGACCAACCCACCACCCATCCAGGCAGCTGGAGAGTATTGGAGTGAGCAGTGCTCTGGACTGCACAACGTCACAGCGCTCCTGCATTACCTCAGAGATTTCTGCAAACTGAGCATTGGCCTGACAGCACTTCTCTGCTGTTTCCATGGCAACCCCGTAGTTGTCCACAAAGGCCCGGTACACACCCAGCTGGCTGGCCTGCAGGGAGGAAGAAGACAGTGTAAGATAGGGTGGGACAGGCAGCTGCTCCCCATCTTTCTGAGGACTGGGCTCTTGAGCACAGCTCTGGAAAAAACCCAGGTACAGTAGACAGTGTGCAGGTTGCAGAAACCGCAGCTCTTCCATGCTACTTCCTCCCACCTGCTTCCCCTCCCGACTCACCAAGCACGCTTTGCTCTCCTAAAATGACATGAAGTGAGTCAGAGCCCTGGGCAGGTAATGGCTCCCTTCCAGAGCTCCTTATTCCTCCCAACACACTTGCTTAAAGGGTGCCATGAGCAGCAGGTCAAGCTTGAGTTGAGAGTCAGACGTGTTCTATGCAGTTGAGGTCGAGCAGCATCTTCTCGTTCTGACTGTGGGAGATTACCCTGGCCACAGCAGTCCATGGACCCTAGTGGTCATGGTGTTCTGCTCATACCTGATCCTATCAGGCAAGTAATGAATATCTAGTCTGGCTGCCTGTGGAAAAGAGAAGCTCTCACTACTAACTGTTCTTCTTAGACCTTGCGGGGGCACCCAGGCCTCGTGCTGCATACCTGATGGGTAGGAGGCCTGCCAACTGCAAGGTGAGAGACATTTTGTTCTTTATTCAACTAAAGACATTAATAGATGGTTCCTTCACTGGGCCGCCTGCTCAGACACACACTCCACTAAGCCACAATTTCCTTGGGTAGATGGGAGGGTGTGCGTATGCCACCATCGCAGTCATCTCTGGGTCCCGTTTCATTAAAGGGCACCAAAGAAAAAGTCCCTAGTCTTTACATGGGACCAGCAAAACCAGGCAGACACAAGAAAGACATGCTGGCCAGGTAAGAATCTACCACAGCAGCTGACTGGAAGCCAAAAGCCGGAGGTATCTGCTATACCTAGAGTTGGCTTGGTATCAAGCCTAAATTTTATTTCCATAGGTATTTACATTTACATGACTTTTATATTTCTAAGGATGACAATTCCAGACACTGAATAAACCTGGTACCCGTGGGTTGACCAGGCCTGAACTGACTGTGCTCCTGTAGGGACTACACAGGAGGCATGGGGAGGGCTAAGAAAGGAGCAGTGGCTGGAGCCTGCTCAGCCCTACACTGCTGACAACCTCAGAAGCTGCTGCAACATCGAATTGCAGGTTCTTCTTCAACATACAGCCAGAGACCCAAGCACCACCTTCTCTCCCTCCTCTCTCCCTTTGAAGGCCAGAGTGAGGGCCTCCCAGCTGTCTGAGGATCAGAATGGCCTACAGGGAGAAGAGATGGCTGAGCAGTCTGGAGCAACTCAGTAGAGGGCCCCTTTCAAGGCTTCTCCTTTCCCTGCCTCCTGCCTAAGGAGGCTCACTTCCTTCAGGTGTAAGAAATTCAGAACAATTAATTCTTACATCAAAATCTTAACAAAAAACTAGAGCTGCATGCTAATGGCACTAATGGAGATCGCCAGTATCTAGACAGGACGCTATGTGACAGACACAGAGTACTCCTGTGGTTGTTCTTTACCAGCAAACACTTGACAAACACAGACTATCCTGTACCCTTCCGAAAATGTCAGTCATGGAAGGTAAGCCGAGTCCAAGGAACTGATGGAGATAGGAGGAGTCTAAAGAGACGTGACAGCCAAAAACATCATGTGACCCTGGATTGGATCCTGAATCAGAAAGAGAGGAAAAAACCGCTAAAGACAAGATGGCTAACTTGGGTGGGAGGAATTTGCCTAAGGACAGCACAGAAGTAAAAGGACGGATGCCTACAACTTGTCAAATTGTGTGTGCGTGTGTGCGCACGCACATGTGTATCCTTAAAGGCATGCATAAAAGATGACATTAGGCAAATCTAGAAAATATTATACTTCATTATGTGGGTGAGGGCAAAACAAGACTTCTGTTCTTATAACCCTTCTGTAAGTCTGAAATTATTAGAAAAATAAGCAAATGAGGACTGGAGAGAAGGCTTAGTGGTTAAGAACACTGGCTGCTCTTGCAGAAGCCTCAGGTTTGAATTCCAGCACCCACATGGTGGCTATAACCATCCATAACTTCAATTCCAGGGGATCTGATGCCTTTGTCTGACTTCTGCGGGCATTGCATGACACGGGTACACTTACACACATGCAGACAATACACTCATACACATAAAAATAAAAATATTTAAGAAAAATAAACAAACAAAAGTAAAATTTCAACCAGAAACAAAACCCCGTCCACTGAAGTGAATAATAGGAAAGGGCAGTCAGCAGGGTTGGGTTACGCCTTCTGCACCATCACAAGTACTTCTGCGCGCATGCGTGCATGTATATGCTGTGCTCGTATTTTCCCAGCATTAGCCTTCATTTTTCTGGAGGGCTGCTGGCTGAGTCTACTCTGTAAGGTTTAAAACTATTGACACATGGCAAAAAGAGAAAGGGAGAAGGGACTCCAAAGATGGGGTACATTGTACCAAATACAGCCGCCAACACTCTGGCTATGAGGAAAGGACCCCAAGGGGAGAGAATCTGAACCAAATAAGTGCTTTATCTGTCTCCTGGTCTTAGCTCCAATGTCTCTGAGGCCCAGAGCAGTAGCAAGAGGCCAACAGGAAAGCCACGCCCTGCAGCGAGAACACTGAGCTTCTCTGACTCAGAAAGTCAAGGTGAAGCTAGAATCATCTGGGTATATGGGCAGTCCAGGAAGGCTAGGGCTGGGGGAGGGCAGATTTTCAGTACTGTACTTGTAGCAGGGTTGGCTTTGGACCACTGCTGCCCCTGAAGGACTCATTTCCTAAATGTGGGAGAATGTTCTAGGCAAAGAGAATGTGTACAAGCAGCCAGGGCAGTTCAGAAACAGGATTCGGCCATTTTCACCAACAGACTGGGGCAAGATGGTGTGCACTCCCTGGGTACATCTTCCACTCATTCATATCAGAGCAGGACCTGGCTCTATGGGACCAGACCTCCTTCTGGCACGCAGCTGTCATCTGGTCCATACTTCTTTGTGGAGGTTCCTAGTTATGCATTTCCCCCTCTTCCTTCACTTATTTAAGAGTCTCACTCAGTATGCTGGCCTAGGCTGGTCCCCATAATTCCTGGGCTCAAGCAATCCTATTTGTCTCAGCCTCCCAAGTAGCTGGGACTACAGGTATATGCCACTGACCCAAACTCATATACTTTAAATCATCTCACGGTTACTTATACCCTTAATCCAATGTAAACATTATTAAATAGTAGTTATGCTACATTATTTAAGCAATAAAGGCAAGAAAGAAAGTCTGTACCTGTTCAGGGAAGGCACTGTTTTCAGCACTTGGGTCAATCTGCAGATGTGGAACCTGCAGAGGCTGACTGTAACCAAGCCCCACTGTGCTCTCACCCGTGATCACCTCTCCAGGCAATGCTCACTCTCTATTCTCTGCTGAGAGTCCAAGTCTGGCTGTGCTGGGCAGTAAAACCATTTTGGTCCCAGAGGCAGCGGGATCTGTGTGGATACTGGGAACCTCAAGCAAAACTGCAGGGAGCCAGGAAGAATAGAAGGACACTGGACTCTAGCTCTGATGGAAATGTGTCCCTTGGCCTTTCCCTCCCAGTGACTTGCACTGAAGGAACTGAGTCACACCCAAGGGCCAAGCCTCATTCTCAGCTGCCTCTGGTCAGTCACAAGTATCAGTATGTCCATGTCACCTACCAGCTTCTGGAACAGGTCGCCCACCCGCTGCTGGTGGCTCCACTGTTGCACACGGGGGAAAAGCCCATCATAGAACTCCTTGTGGATCTCGTAGAGCTCAGGCACTTTGAAGAAAATGGTCTCAATCTGTTGGCTGGTCAGCACAGGCTGAGAGGTGGTGGCAGCGGCTTTCAAAGGCTTCATGGGCTAGAGGAGGGCATGGGTGAGAAGGGCACAGGTAAGGGGGCTTGCCATTCATTAGGCGCAACATGGTTTATGTGACACATGCTTCTATTTTATCTTATTTTGTTTGATACCAGTGATCAAGCCCAGGTAGGGCCTTGGGCATGTTAGGCAAGTGCTCTACCACTGAGCTACATTTCCAACTCTTACTTTCATCTTCAAATTCCAGAAAAAAAGTTAAAATTTGGCAACCGAAGTCTTCAGCTAGTATCTACTGGCCCCTTGGGGGAAGGTCAGATTTCTAGAAGTAGAATGTTCTGACCCTGCCAGAGGTGTGGTATGACTCCCACAGGGTATGCTGCCTCAGGGTCCCACAGCTGGTGGGGGGCATGGGCAGTGAGATCTCCCTGCAGCTCCCTCCCTCCTCATTCTCACCAGCAGCAGAGCCTCCAGGTGACTCAGGTAAGTCTCCTCGCTGGCCAGGATTCCAGACAGAACCCATTTTCTCATCTCCAAGCCTTTCTCCAAGTCCAGCTCACCCTATAGGAGAGAAGCAGAGCAGTCAGTTCCCTCTGAGAGGAGGGTGGCTGGTCAGCCTCTGGACAGGCCTCCAGAGAAGCTCCACTAGGGAGTACAACAGCACTGGCACCCATTCAGCCATGGACTTGTACTCACTAAAACCTGGAGGGTCTCTGGCCAAGGGCCACTCTTGATCCCCACATACTAGGAAAGGGAAAGTTTGGAGCTGAACAGGCTGCAAGGCCTCCTTCCCCCTTGCGTTGTGCCTGGGACCTAGAAGCGACTCTCTTGATGTACACATAGAAGAAAGGAAAAGGAGGTTCTGACCTGAAGTGGGCACAGCACACAGGAGGCCAAGGGCTGCTCCACAAGGGCTAATCTAGGGTACTAGTGTGCACTGCCTGGCCATCCGACATCTATTATAGCAAAAGCCTGCTGCTCCTTGGCCCTCACCTCGCTTGGATTTCCTGTCACTACCACCTGAATTTTGGACTGAGCAGACTCAAGCCTGGGCAGCACCACCTCCTCCTTCCACATCCTGCCTTTCTTGGCCAGTCACTGGAACTGGGGGCCGCTGCAGCTGGGGGCCACTGGAGCTGGGGCCCACTAAAGCTAGGGGCCACTGCTACCTGCCTGTGGGGAGCCTTAGCTCCTAGGCCCAGGGCTTTTTTCTGACACTGTTTTCTTTCTTTTTTAAAGAATTTTTTAAATTGAATTTTTGTGTATTTCACACAGAATATCTTAATCATCTTTATACCCCCTTCCGCACCGACCCCCTCTCATAGCTGCCCCCATCAGGGGAATTCCTACATTCTGTCATTTGTGTTAAGGCCTATCGTGTCAAGTTAGTGTCCCCAGATGTCCCTCAGTGTTAGTTCATCTACAGAGGTCTATTCAGCTTATCGAGTTCCTCCCTTTAAGAAGATCATCTTTTGTTCACCTAGCAGTAATCAGCTGCCAATAATTCTTCGACTAAGATTGGGGCCTGCTGTCCATTTCCATAGTTCTATGCTGGGCTCTTGTCTGCCTAAGTTTGCATGGGTCTTGTGCATGCTGACACCACTAATGTAGGTTCATATGAAAAGGTTCCCAGGAGCCCGTAGGACTCTATTTGCATATGGTCATGTACCTCCTCCCCAGTTCTTACAATCTTTCTGCCCCCTCTTCCTCAATTGTCCTTGAACCCTGGGTGAGTGGATTTTAATATAGGAGAGCTGTTCAAGGACCCACACGCTATAGATTTAAGGCTCCATATTTTGCACATAGTAAGAAATTACATCTGTCTAGGGATGTGACAGCCTTGGGGTTGTCTCTACTATCTGTGACCTCTCCAGCTATGTGTATTTCACTGGGTTTACAGTATCACATCTAGTTTCCTCCCATTGAGGGGGCTTTAAGTCCAATTAGGTAACTATTGATTACCCCCAAGATAAAAGTGCCACTATTGCACCAATGTTGTTTGCTGTGCTAGTCACTGATGTGGTATTTAGGCCTTGAAACTGGGGTTGGACCATCCATTGATGTTCTCCCTTAACAGCTTGCATAGTGCTCTCCAAAGCTATGAGACCTAGCCTTCAGAGAGGTGGCTTCCAGGTCAGTTCCAGCTCCACTGCTCCAAATCCCATGTCTGAAGTATTTACTGTCTTCAGCAATAGGGTCTGACCTTCAAGTTCTGGGAGGCAATCAAGGACTGTGGCAATAGCCTATGTAATTTTGAGAGTCTCTTGGACCACCCTGACCAACAACTCAAAGGAAGGTTTCTCCCGTCTGGCACTGTTTCTTGTTACGTAGCCTTCAGCTATACTCACGTAGAGATATCTTGTAGAGATGTTGTATGTGTAATTTTTCAGTATGTTTTTGGACTTATATGATTCCCTCTGGTCTTTTAACTAGCTAGACACTATTTATGTCTCCTCTTTCTCTCCCTGTCTTATCTTCCCTCCCTGCCCTCCCCATTTAAAGTGTCCTCATTTTCCCCATCTCTCCCTTGATAATGCCTGTCTGTGATCCCACCTCTCTTGAACTCCTTTCCCCCCTTTATTCCCATAGTGCTTTTTAAAAAAATTTATTATTTTTATTTTATGTGTATGAGTGTTATGCCTGCATGTAAGTAAGTGTATCTGTGTTGTGCAATGCCCTCGGAGGACAGAAGAGGCTGTCGGATTCCCTGGAACTGAGTTACGGACAGTTGTTAGCTGCCATGTGGGTGCTGGGATTCAAATCTGGGTCTTCTGCAAGAACAGTCAGTGTTCTTAACCACTGAGCCATCTCTCCAGCCCTCCTATTGCTCTTTGTATAGCCCTCCTTCTCTCCCTTCCATTTAACTATGCTCTTTTTACACATTTGTCTATTAGTACCGCCTGTCTCCTACTACTCTTCTCTCTTGGGTTCCTTCTTTCCCTTTACCTCAGTAGTTCTCCTCCACTTTCCTGGTTCCTGCAGTTACATCAGGATATGTACTCATATATTAGGATTTGCTGTTAGGATCCACAAATGAGGGAGAACATACATCTTTTGTTTTTCTGAGTCTGTGCTATTTCACTTAATATAATAGTTTCCAGTTCCATCCATTTACCTGCAAATTACATTATTTCATCTTTCTTTACTGCTGAGTAGAACTCCATTGTGTAAATGTACCACTCGTCAGCTGAGGGGCACTTAGGTTGCTTCCATCTATTAGCTATTGTGAAAAGAGCAGCAACAAACATGGATGTACAAGTGTCTCTGCAATAGGATGAGTCCTTTGGGACACAAGGAGTGGTATAACCGGGTCATATGGTAGGTTCATTTGTAGTTTTTTACGAGCTCTCCACATTGTTTTCCATAGGGTTTGCATGAGTTTGCAATCCCACAGCAGTGAATGAACATTCCCCTTTCTCCACATCCTTGCTAGCATTTGGTATCATTTGTTCTCTTCATCCTACCAGTCTGATTGGGGTAAGGTGATACCTTAGGGTGGTTTTAATTTGCATTTCCCTAATTAATAATGATGTTGAACACTTTTTAAGATGTTTCTTAGCCATCTTTATTTCTTCTTTCGAGAACTCTCTGTTTAGATCATTAGCCCATCTTTTAATTGAGTCATTTGTTTTATTGATTCTTTGTTTTTTGAGATCTTTTTAAAAAAATATTTTATTATTTTTATGTGTATGTGTGTATTGCCTGCATATAGGTAAGTGCACCTGTGTTGTGCAATGCCCGTGGAGGACAGAAGAGGCTGTCGGATCCCCTGGAACTGGGATCTTTATATACTCTGGATGTTAGACCTCTGTCAGATGTATCTCTGGTGAAGATTTTTTTTCCTACTCTGTGGGTTTTCTCTTCGCTTTCTGGATTGTTTCTTTTGCTATACAGAAGCTTTTTAGTTTAATGAGATCCCACTTCTTGATTGTTGACCTTAATTTCTGAACAACTGGTTTCTGATTTAGAAAGCCCTTTCCTATACCTATATCTTGTATGTTATTGCCAATGTTTTCTTCTAATAGTTTCAGAGTTTTGTGTTTAACAGTGAATTTGTTGATCCATTTGGAGTTAACTTTCGTGCAAGGTGACAGACAAGTATCCAATTGCATTCTTCTACAGGTGGAGATCCAGTTTTGCCAGCACCATTTGTTGAAGATGCTCTTTCCTCCATTATGTGTTCTTGGCACCTTTGTCAAATATCAGGTTGCTGAAATTGTATGTACTCATGTTTGGGTCTTCAGTTGTGTTCCACTGATCTACGTGTCTAAGTACCAGTACCATGCTGTTTTTATGACTATAGCTCTGTAGTATACTTTGAGATCTGGTATAGCAATCCCCCCAGCATTGCTCTTTGTGCTCAGGGTTGCTTTAGCCATTGTGGGGTCTTTTTACTTCCATATGGATTTAAGGATTTTTTTTTCTAATTCTGTGAAGCATGTCATGGAGATTTTTATTGGAATTGTATTGAATCTATATATCACTTTGGGTAGGATGATCATTTTCACAATATGAATTCTTCCAATCCATGAGCATGGGAGGTCCTTCCATGTTCTGGTGACTTCCTCAATCTCCTTCTTTAAAGATTTAAAATTTTCACTGTATCTTTAGTCAGGTTTATTCCAAGACTTTTTTTTTTTTTTTGAGGCTATTGTGAAGCTATTGGTATATAGAAAGGCTACTTATTTTTGTAGATTAATTTTGTAATCTGCCAGTTAACCGAAAGTGTTAATCATTTCCAAGAGTTTTCTGGTGGAATTTCCAGGATCTCTTAGGTATAGTATCATATCATCTGCAAAAAGGGATAATGTGACATTTCTTTTCCAATTAGAACTCCTTTAACTTCCTTCTTTTGTCTATTGCTCTAGCAAGAGTTTCAAGTACTATATTAAAAAGGAGTGGAGATAGTGGACATCCTTGCCTGGGTCCTGCTTTTAATGGGAATGCTTCCAGTTTTTCTACAATTAGAATGATGCTGGCTATGGGTTTGTTGTATATAGCTTTAATTATGTTGAGGTATGTTCCCTCCAGTCTAGGTCCCTTTAGGACTTTTATCATGAATGCATGCTGAATTTTTCACTTAATATAATAGTTTCCAAGGCCATTTACCTGCAGATTTCATTACTTCATCTTTGAATTTTGTCAAAAGCCTTTTCTGCATCTACTGAGATGACCACATTTTTTGCCTCTGAGTCCATTTATATGATTTATGACATCTATTGATTTATGTATATTAAACCATCCCTGCATCTCTGGAATAAAGCCGACTTGATCATGGTGGACGATCTTTTTTATATTTGTCTATATGCGGTTTGCAAATATTCTGTTGAGGATTTTTGTATCTATGTTCATTAACGATATAGGTTTATAGTTGTCTATTTTGGTTGCATCTTTACCTGGTTTTGGTATTAGAGTGATGCTGGCTTCATAGAAGGAATTTCGGAGTTCTCCCTCTGTTTCTATCTTTTGAATAATTTAATTAGTATTGGTTGTAGACCTTCTTTAAATGTCTGGTAGAATTCTTTAAATGTCTGGTAGAATCTATCTGGGCCTGGGTTTTT